GCAAGGGTTATTTGCCTAGAAAACAGTGTTCACTCCATGATTATATATTTTATCTTAGCACTTTTAGGCTAGTGAAGTTATGACCACAATAATGATGGAGTCATTTTCTGCAAGTTTAATCATTGGCTGGCTCAATGGACAGAAAATACAACTAAGGCAGAAATTTCTCTACAAATACTATTTGCTAAGCATCACTGATGGACAAAGGACTATGGGCCATGCAAGACAGCCTGGGAAGGACAGAGCTAGGCAAGAGGCAGGAATGACCAGATGATGGCTAGCAATGATAGTCAACATTATGTTAAGAATGAACTTGAAGTGCTGACTTCACACTGCATTCCCAGGTCCCAGTAAGGTGCCTTGACGGCAATTCTCCCAGCTTTATTGATACCAGAAAGGCTGCCAGGAAGGTTTTCATGGTCCAAATGTCAGGGAAATGGCACAGAATATGATCACACACATCACAGACAGACTACAACAGCTGCCCTTATGAGGAGCCAACTGATATCCTATGGTTTGAAATCAAGACAGTCACGGCCAACTGCTCCAGAGCTGCAATCTCAAGCCACACAGAAAGAATGTGGTGGAAGCTTCACCGATATGCACCAGTGTGCTTCAGGGCTAGCATGATGGCAACTGCTTGGCTGACTTGGTTGTTCAGCTCTAAACTTTGGACATGCATTTGCACCCAGCACAAAAGGAAACAAACTTCTCAACCAACAGCAAAGACTCAAAAACTGGTCATTAAACATAAACCATCTATGCAAGGAAGGTGCAGTCCAACTACTCTGCTATGAAAAGCCCTTTGTGATCTCCCTTCTCTTCCATTTTACAGACTACATTAGCCACAAACATTTCAGGTCATACAACTGTATTAACGCCAGCAAAGGACTGCAGAACAATCTCTCCTTTTTGATTCAACAATGAAAAATAGCTCAAATTTGGGAAGAGCTGTCAGCATCACAGGACTGACGACTTGCATGATCTCAAGGTATTAAGGATTTGGCTCCCCAGATGTTAATCCCTGCTGTGCTCTGGACTCTGATGCACCATCTCAGACAGCTATGCCCATTCAAAACAAAACAGCACAACGAAACCATGACCCATGAAGCAATGAGGGGGTAAGAGCTTCTCCATTGCCACCATGTGGCCAGTGAGCTCTTCCCATCAGCATATCAGAACGGTAATCCTGAATATGGACTGCAAGCCTGAAATACACTTTCTTCCCACTTTGTTTCTCTCCGAGTAGTCAAAGTGACAGCATCCTTCTGTTATTTGGTAAATGGGAAGATCTACTCAGTACACAGTTAACTACCTGCCTGCACAGCAGATTCTGTACTGAACAGATATTACAGGATTATGTATTACATAAATACAAATACAATGGATACGTGGATTTGTCATCATTCCACACTATGGCTGCTAATATCCTAAATACAGTGAATCACAGACTGCATTCTGATTTTTTTTTTCAGATTTTCTTTCCCATGGGATGATAAGAAGTAATCTCCCTGTTGTTACAAATGTTTTATTTTGAAAAGAAAGCCTTTATGCATATTTTAGTTGATCTAAATACAGTAGATCTTGGGTTTTTAAATCACGAGATAATATACAATTATCTCAAGCTAGATTCTGATTTTGAAACAAGCTCTAATTAGCTCCCCATTTTATGCTGCTATAATCCTTTCTTCAACTCCCATGAGTGTTACTATTGCTAAGCAGCATGAGGTTAGGAATGATGGATGATACCCAGAAAGGAAGACAAACAAAAGGGAAATTCAAAATCCCCTGAGATCACCCGCAGCTGTATCGGCAAATGAAGATTTCCACATTAGGTCATAAGACGACCCTTACAGAAACACAGACCAAAAAGGCACGTCTTTTTCCCACTGAGTATTTGCAAGTCTTTAATGTAGTATAGAGAGAGTATATGTCCTTCACAGAGGATAAATACAAAAGTGAATACAAATTCAGCTTTCCTGGGAGCTGCTATGAAATCAACAGCAGCAAAACCTGAAACTTTGTCTTGATGTCGTACAGATGCTCAGTTAAGATTTAAGAACCCAGAATGAAACAGGCTGGTAAAAGCTACATACAGTACAGGCATTTAGAAAAATACCCAAGCACAAAACCCATCCTCTGGCACATGGCTACTGGCCAAAGCCAACCCAGCTCTGATCAGCAGCAATGCAACTACATAAGGGCCAAATTCATCACGAAAAAATGCTGATGCAGTTGGGTGACACTAATTCAACTTTTTGTTCCATGTGATTTGGTCCGTGCTTTTGACACATAAATCATTAAAAAGGCAGATTTACCCAAGGGCATTAGAGCAGTTAGGTGGAAAGAAATACACAGGAAAAATCTTTGGGAAGGCACAGTGATACTATTTTTGACCACCGAGGGTACAGGCACCATTTTTGTGTAAAGCAAGTTCCCTGAAACTTGCACAGAAACACCCAAGCCTTGATAAAAGGTCACAGGCAGAAAACACAGATATTTACCTGGTTGTAATTTGGTACAGTGTTTTTTCAAACCCCATAAATAAAGCTTTTAAAGATGAAAATCAAGCCTGGCTTCTCTCTATCTCAATCTCTATCTGTATCTGTATCAAGATCCATCTAATGCCTATCCATTCATTCCCACATAGAAAAGACTAATGGGTCCATCTGTTCACGTGCGACAATGGAAAATCACCAGACAAAAGAACACATTTTCATGAACGAGGTGTTAATCAAAACCTCATGATCTAGGAGTGTAAGTAACCGGGTCAGAAATCCAGCAAATCTTGCTAGTTTGACAGAATAGTGCCAAACAGTAATGAAAATACTCACAGCTAATAAAAGTTTGAGACGTTACTATGTGTGTTGACACTCTGCACGCTGAAGACCTTCTTGGCAAAGCACTCAGGAGCCACTGAATGTATTAGTTTAATTTCACTTCTTCCCCTTCATGCATTCAACAAGTTCCAAGGCAATTATATTACATGGAAAAGGTTCCAGACCTTTTCTCATTTCAAAATTGTTCTGATTCATTACTGGTTTAAAACTACAATATGCAACCTTTTCTGCCTGGATTTTCCTGGGAAATGTCTCAGAAGAACGGAAAATGGAACTGTCTTTTTCTTTTGCCTGCCCTGCAGTGGAGGATCTTTCACAAACGCATAATTCTTATTACCTTTTCCAAACTGTTTGCTGTGCTTTTAATTACAGAAGTGCTGCTAATAAAAGAAAATTACCAAACTGCCCTTCCTCATTCAAACCACTTGGTTTTGCTCTTTTGTTCTGCAGGGTGTCACAACTTTCCTTATTCCTTTATACAGAGGAAGGCACCAAGAAAAGAACAATTGCACAACAATTTTGTTTTTAATCACTGGGTGAGGAAGAAGAGGGCAGGAGCACCTTCTCTCCTTAGTTAGTCTGCTTTAAGGAAAGAAGGAGGCAATCTCATCAATAACATGATTTTATTAGCTGATAGGAATGTGTCGCCTCACAAAAGATGAGCTCAAGGGCAGGAACTGACAAACAAGATTGGGAGTGTGGGAGGGGAGCAAAACATCACAGCAGCAAAACTGAACTTCCTGAAGGAAATCACTTTCAGCTACCAGCGATCCTCCCGGGAATCCATAAGGTGGTTGGATTCTAATCCTATGGGCTTGTCTTTCAATCTTTTATAATTACAGTTAGTCATAAATATGATGATTAGCAATAACAATGCAGCCTTTTCCCAGCTCCTCTGATTTCAGATTCCTCTTAAAATGGCTACAATTAATTACTCATATTTTCCATGCTGTCTTAGGCTGTAACAGTTACTTTTGCATAGTATTAATGCTACAGAAAAGTAGTCAATGGCATGCTTTTAATGAACAGCAGCAGGAAACGTTAATGTTCACTAAATGCTTTGCTGTAACTAACAATAGCCCTATGATTGCAAATAATTTTTGCCCATTTTGGTTGTTTTCGTTGCTTGTTTTTACCAGGGGCATTTATTTCTTTTTTTTTGGCTTTTATCTATTTTCAACTGTTCTTCTTAAGAAAAACGTGGACTGAATGTCATCATGGATTTTCTTGTAGTAAAATCTTTTAGCGTCTGAAATAGTTTCTTAGTAGAGAGAGAAAAGCAGTTGGGTTGGGATGTTCAGAATAAACCCAGCAAATGCCAGAAAAAAGAGTGTTTCAGAACGGCAGAGAGGTAGAAGAGGAGCACAACCCACCCCTGTGTGTATGCTGGAATGCAATAGTTCTCCAATACAGGGCACGGGGTGCAAGTACTGGGCAGGGCACAAGTGTTTTTCTAAAGCACAAAACAGCCCGAGTGGTTTACGCCAGTTAAGCATATCATTGGCAAAATGTCTGTGTGGGTAGAGTTTGGTATCTAACAGCAGGAACACAGCTGTTCTGTTCCAGTCTCCTTCCTATGCGGTGGCTATCTTACAAAACCTTGAGCAATTTACTTCTTTGACACTCATCTTTGCTGCATCTGCTTTTTTGCAAACGGAAAGGGGGGGTATCAAAAAAGAAGGTTGGTTTGGAATATTTAGGGAAGCTTGAAACAGAGAGGCACAACGTGGTCTTTCCCCCCACCTTCAAATTAACAAAGCAGGTTTTATGCAAAGGAAAGTGGGGGAACAAAAAATAAGCCAGTGTGAGTGAGGCAGCTGGAATATGTAGATCACATTACAAACGAAAGGCTTGTTTTACAGCCATTGTCACATGTCAAACTGATAAGCTGAACTATGGTAAAAGAAACCCTGCAGAGCCAATGATCTCTAAGATCAGAGAGAGTCTCTTTACCTAATATATGCAGCTAAATACGTGTACTCCCTACATCTGCCATAGCAACAAGGAGAGAACGAGGAATTAACTGGCTTAATAAAAAAACTGAAGGGACTCCAGTATGATATAACACAACACGAGCAACCTCTCAGCATCAAAGCAAAAGAAACGTAACAAAAGCACAGAGAATTATTTCAGAGCAAATCATTGAAACCAGCTGATTACCTGAGCTTGCACATCCCTGCTGTAGGGAATCCTGTAATGATGTCACAGAGTGAAGGACTAGATAAGAGAGGAGAGGAAAATCAGGGAACAATAAAAGGAGATGCCAAACCACAAACTAAACAGTAAGCAGGTTCAACAAATAGCAAAGTGCTGATCTCGGCAAGGGCGCTCTGCTCATTTAAGTCAGTGGCATTATCAGGGTACAACCGAGGCCAAACCCTAGTCTGGCCTTTCTGTCACAATTGGTATTAGAGTAAGAGGAGAGCCACAATAAAAGTGTAATTGCAACACAGCATTCCCCCTTTAAAGCTTAGCTCTTCTAGCTCACCTCCTGAGAAAGCAATCGATATTCTCCTGGGAACAATAAAAATCCCCTATGCAAGCCTAGAAAACAGCGCACAAGATTTTCCAGCTCTTTGGCCAAAATTGCTTGACTTATGTATCATATTCATGCCTAGCTAATATCATCCTAATTAGGAACTTGATAACTGCTGCTTATCAATTACACATAAGTGAGTGCTTCCTTCATAAACATTCCCAGTGCATTCCCTGGGGACTGGCTGGGCTGCAAGGGTGGACGCTGCCACTTCCAGCACTGCCTGGCCTAGCACTGGGTGCAAGTGTCACTTACTGCAAGTTTAAAAAAGAAAAGGAGAAAAGAAAAGAAAGATCTCCTCCTCCTCAACTCAAACAACAGAGTGGAATTTTAATTACCTTGTCCTTGTTGCTGCCCTTGTGCAGGCAGGACACACTGTCCCAGCTCACCATTCAACCAGAGCTGCATACGAATAAATGGTTCTCGGCCTTTTTGGGTCAATTTACTCCATGGCTTTGGCCTGGAGAGCATGTCACTGACACTTCCTTGGGACAGCCCCAATACCTGAAGTGAAGCAACCAAGAACGGCACGTTAACACATTTGATGTGGAAGGAGGAGTAATTTAAGTCACTTTGGTTTTCCTTTGCTGCTGTTTCACTCCAATCGCTTTTATATGGACAATGAGTAAAACTGCAAAATGACCTCTGTGGGTACTTGGATGGAAATGCTTTTCTCCTGCCGTGGTTTCCTGCTGGAGCATGGGTTTTTTTTTCCTGCAGGAACGGAGTGGCAGCACAAACAGCAAAAGGATGGTGCGAGATTTGCATGCTTTTCATATTTTGTGTCAGATTGTTTCATCAGTTTTAACAGGGAAAACAGAGAGTCCAGGCACACACAGGCAGATAAAACAGGGAATGATTGGCATGTATTTTGTTCTCAAACAAAAATAATTGGGACTTTTGAGACTAGGCCTATAGCTGGTTGATTTTTTGGGGGATGAATTATAACGATGTGTGTTTTCACCTGCAGCAGCGGCTGCTCCACCTAAGTAAATATTTAAGAACACAGCCGACTGCAGCAAAGGGGGAATTTCAGACAGACAGAATGCAATTACCTGCCTGGAATGCAGCACAGGTACAGCAGTTAAAAATCATACGTAATGAAAGCTGCCACGGGATCTTTAATGACCCCAAGAGGTCAGGCTTTTCATTTTACATCTGAATGAAAAGGTAACAGCACAATGCCAGCTCCTATTAGACTATTATATTTGATTCAATTCCGTATAGGAAGAAGAAACACCAGATGTCCTCCGCCTCTTACAGCCTGGGAGGTGTTTTCTGGTGGGTGGGGACCCTCCTGAAATCCCACGTGTTCAATGCTTAGGGCCCACACAGCGTGAGAATTTCAGACAGCCTTACCGTGCATTGTGTGTCTGTAATCAAACATTGCTTTAAAACATCTCAAAGCACACTAAGGTACCAAGCACCAGGTATAAGAAATGACTGAATTCCTGACTTCAGACTAAGGAGAGGTAGGGGATTTTCTATGTGTTTGTTCAAATACCCTCGTGCACATTTCCAAATATTAAAAAGGAAAAATGCTCTTGTGTCCATAATCTTCACTTATAACAAATTTAAGACTCTCCAGTCATGACAACGGTATTACTCAAATATTCCATGAATTCATTACTTTAAGTATGAAATATTGAGTCTCAGTAACGTTTGCTTCAGCTTTCAGGATTTCTAAACTCGGGGGCCCCATTTCTAATTACAGGTGGCTGAAGCCAATCTTTGTTATACAAACACTTAACGTATGAAGCAAAAGCATTTTTCCACCAGACACATGGTGTATCCTCCTGAGCTCCAGACCAACACAGGAAGCAGAACACACGCTCACAACACTGGGGTAACAAGAGAACCACTTCTTTACCTTTTCCCCAAAGATCCTTTGGCAGATGCCATTCTTTGCTAGCTTTTCTTTGACCTGCCGCGTTAGCTCTATCGTATCCACTTCCTGGTACATATAAATCTCATACTGCTCAGGTGTCAGTGGAGGAACTGAAGGTTTGGATGGCTTTGACAAAGACACGATAGGGGATGAAGGGAGGGGGCTATTCTGTGGTGTCTCACTGCGACTCGCCCCAGTCATGCTCAATTCAGAACTCTGCGAGTACGGAGATTCAGCGTTAGGCCACTCTTTCCAATACTCTGAAGAAGATGGTCCTTGGAGCTGGCTACGATCTGGCCTAGTCTGATTGCTGACCTTTTCTTTTCCACCACTGGTTTCCTCAACTTTTATGTCTTCAGGAAGAGCTGTATTTCTTCTCTCATGCTGCACAGTATTCCACCAATGGTCCTTCCAAACACCACCACGTCCCAACTCATTTTTAACATGCCTCAACATACCCTGGGCAGAATCACTTACTCCATGAAGCTCTAAAACAGGTGCCTCCTGAGGCTCCTTTTTGAGCCCAGAGAGGTTCTGCAACGCAGAGATACTGGAATCAGTGACAGATGAATGTTTCTTCAGGGATATGGCCAAAGGAGAATAGCTGGAAACCGAGGACATTGCAGGTGTAGATACTAGTTTGGGGGACAGCATAGAAATGTCAGCTTGAGATAAAGGTGGTGTTTTTAAGGCAGGTTCAAGGGCAGCCTGCTGTGCCTCCATTTCACGTCGGGCTTGTTGCAGAATGGATCGAATAGCATCATCAGAATTGCCACTGCTAGATGCAGAAGGCGGCTGAGCCGGCTCAGCTATGAAAAACAACCAAAAGACTAAATGCAACACAGGAATATGCTTTATATTCAACACGTGCTACTGTTAATATTTCCCTGTCAGAAAAAAGGGCTGCAATATATTTCTGGATGGGAAGGAGGAGTTTCCACTAAGCAAAGGTTTGTACTTTATCAAAATAAGGTAAGATTTCCAAAGTTCTTCACTGGAAAAATATGAGAGTTGCCAAAGTGCTGGACTTGTGCAGGCAGAGCCTCAGCTGCAGATGTCTGGTACCACTTGCGTGTTTTCCACCATTGAAAACATTTCAAAACAAATGCCTTTGAAAAATCAAGCCTTCAGCTCTTCCTCCCCCACCCCAAGTGGTCAATAACATGTCATGGGGCTGTCTGCAAAGTTATTTAACCTTTCACTTCTATCTTCACAAAGGAATGGTAACACACAAAACTGAGCACAGCTGCATTCACCTGGACGGACTACTAATACCCTCTTATTAGATAAATGAGGGGAGCCCTTTATACTCCAAAAATATAACACACAAATTACAACAAAGCAAGAACTTTACTAAGAGACTTCGTTATTTCATTTAACAAGCTGGATATGCTCCTGCTTCCTGTTTTCTCATTCCATGGTCACAGCCACTGAAATAAACAGCTTTACAAAAACCAGGCTGATGCTTGGTCATCACTCTGCCTTATCTGGAGCTCTAGAATGGAGCCCTGGGCTCTTTCAGAAGAGATAACACCTAAAAGCAGTATTTCAGTGGTGAACTGGGACTCGTGGGGCTGTGCTGCAGCAGCTGGAGATGAGCAGAGCAATGGAATCTGTTTCTATTTAAGTTAGTCTCCACTGAGGTCCCCAGTGGTTGAAAACCAATTCCTCTGAAAGCTACTCTACAGCAAATGGGGAAAGTGAAGCACTAAGTATAAGAGGGAACCCATACACTACAAGAAGTGGCCTCAAAGTAAAGTAAGATTTGACACACACTGCATGTTATTCTAGCAATATTATGGGCTTGTCTGAATACATTTCCAAATTTGCTTCCCTACATTCCTTCCTGTCACACACTATAAAATACATTTAAAAAGCTAAGAAATGGGGAAAAAAAGACAGTGGGACTCTCTCTTCTGTTTTATCTACTGGTTTCATTGGGAGTTTTGAGGCTGAATTAATATTTGAAAGGAAGTCTGACATTCCCTGATGAAACATGCGACTGGAACAATGTGCTTGCAGTTTCCTGCACACAGCCCATATTTTTCTCTGTGTTATCATTACTTGTATAAAGTCATATTCACTAAGTCATATATTAAATTGTATATTAACTGTCTTTTATATTTTGCCATGAGATTAACTTAGTTTTCATTTAAGAGGCAACTATCCAAAACTGTAAATCAGTATTTAAAAAAACAAACCAAAGGACTGCACAGTTCTTTCTACTCCAGCATTAGCTCTTTAGCAGTACTGGAAACTGTTTTAAAGATGTGAGGGCTATGGAGTAGACTAAGTGTTAACTACAAGACAGCATACAATAAGAAATTAAACTTATTTAGAGCTACGATGTTAAACTAATGGTGTTTCTGGGAAAGGAAATGCTTTTTGGATTTGCCAAGTCATTCACTGAACACATTCGGTAACGAAAACCACAGTCATATAGAAGGTAGAACCGAGTTTGCCTATATTCTAATTTCAGTACATGATGGCCACAGTATGATGGTCCTATGTGACTGATAATTGCTGGCTAGATCACGACCCTCACCCTGATAAAACCATTCAGTTCCCTCTTCCATGCAGTTGTGTCCCTGGGGCCTGAGTTAGATAGAAGAGAAGAGAAAGCAGGAGCCATTGCCTTTTCAAGGAGCAAACTGCTAGCAGAAAGGGTTTTGTAGGTATGTCCTGCAGGGTGACTGCCTGCAGGTCTGGCGTGGTGTAGGGAAGGCAGAGCTCTGACATGTGGGAAAAGGTGTTAAGGAATCTTAGTGTTGCTCCCCCAGCAGCAGGGCAGACCACAGTGTTGAGCAGAGACACTGCCAAGCAGTGACATGTGTGCCTTAACTTAGGATGTCTTAGAGACAGAAACTAACTCCACCAAATAATTAAAAAGAAAAAAAGAAAAGCAGCTCCTCAAACCTACATTCAGGGTTTTAAGAATATAATTAACTGACCAGAAAGCTCCTGGTAATTGTTTTAATTAAATTCTGAAATAAAAGGAGCAAGAGACAAAATGAGACCGTACCTGTTTTCTGTACTTGCAGCTCCCTTTTGGCTTGTTCGAGAATGGATTTGATGGCTTCATCAGAGCCAGTCTCTGTGGTTCGGATTCTTGTGGTTATATTACCTGAAGAAGAAAACAAAACTAATGACTCTGGGAAAACCTCTATTTGCTTGGTTGTTTTGTTTTAACACAAAGACAGCATATACTGATATACCACCAGCATGACCTGACAACAGTTTACACAGGACCTTTGCCAACATTTACAACACCAAGAAGGTACTTAATAAAAGAAGAATACCCTTGCTGTGCAAAAGCCTACCCGCTAGCTGCACTGGAGCCATAAGAACACTGACATCACCAGAGGAAGAGCTAGGTGGTCATATATACCTTTTCCAGCATAACATACAAAGGTCTATCTTTTTTCCTTTCCCTTTTTTTTGTTTTTGGAGGGGGAGAGGAAACAGAAGGGAAAAGAACCACAGGGGAAAGGAAGAAAGCTAAAAACACAAGATAAGGAATCAACTTAGAAACTGCATCAGGTGCTAGGCAAAGGAGGAGGAGTATACAATCAGCCCAAACCAGAATTAGAACAGAACTAGATAAAAAGTAATCTTTAACTTTCTAGAGGTTACTACATCAAGAAAAACAGCCATTTAAATGCAGATACCATTTGAAGCACTCTCCAGCTAAGAGCTATTACTTGGTGGTTTGGTTTGGTTTAGGTTTATTTAACCACTAAGGGGAAGAAAAGAAGGAAAAACTATGACTGTGAATGCTATTGCCCTTAACTGCATTTTTCATGATGAGATTATCATTTGTAAGTGAGCTAGATAATTTCTGTCTGGAGCAAAATAACTACAGAGTTTTAGGGTACTTGTTTCTGTTTTTAATTCTTCCTCTTGTCTTGCTGCAAGAAAAATTCTGCAACTGATCTGTAACAAGGAAAAATGTTTGTACTTCCTGTTCAGTGATAATTTATTGTTCTGATGTTCACTTATGATGATTTTAAGGTTCACTATTTTACGTTCAATAAATGATCTATAACGTCCCTTCCAACCCAACCCAATCCTGCATGATCCTATTATTATCCTGTAGTATCACACTAATTTAACAGCATATTAAGCTGTATTTGTCCACATAAGCCCCATGAGAAGAAAGAAGCAAATCTAGAGCAGAAGCAGTATGTGACTGATGTTGTAATTGTGCAGCTTTCTCCCTCCAAAATCACAAAAATAGCAAAGAGAGCATTTCAATGGATCTGATGCTTTTATAAAGTCACTTCTATCACTTCTCTCTTTTTATCTGCGTATGCCGTGAGGTTGGGAGTGGAAAAAGTATCCAAACAGGGTTACGTTAGTACAGCAGCAGCAGAATTAGAAAAAGCATGGTGTTCATCTAACCCATGGTTTGTTTTATACTTACTGTCTGTTTTTCTATCAGATTCCAGGCCAGAATCAAACTGCACAGTTTTAAGGAAACACACAGCTAAAGCACACTCCACTTCCTAGGTATTGACTGCAAAGAAAAACACCTGCCTGTGACGTACCTTCAGACCCATTTCTTCGTTTCGGTACTTCCTGAAATAGTCTGTTCAGGTTCTGGCCTGGATTCTCTGTTGAAAAACAAGTTTGGTAAGAACAAAACAATCAGGGGATGGTTGCTCTGACATCATGGGCTCTGTGACATGAGAAGCTGGCAGCCTGTCTCTGAGCACAAGGCTCTGAGCTGCCCTTGCCCCCTCAAGCCCTTGGCTGAGCACGGTTGGAGCTGGCTACTTGGGAAGAAGCAAGGCTGGCTGATTTGTTAATAAAGATTACAGCTACGTTCGGAAAGGAGATTAGACAGATATAAATAAACGTCTAGAGATACCAAAAATGAAGAGGTTAAAGATGGGCAGATAATCCCCTCAAGTACAATCATCAAAAGGAAGAACAGATTATAAATCGACCAGCGTGCGCTTTCAATTAAACACAGTCTAGCAAAACCCTGCCTGTCCTTTCCAATAGTTCTTGACTGTAAACAACTTACTTTCCAGTTTCTCTAAATGTAAATCTCAGTCTTTGCTTAAGATGAATCACAATGAAATGCATGTTATTTCTTAAAATCACTGCCTGAAATATGCAAAGCTGCTTCAAATCAGGATTCTTTTTATATTACTCATCTCATGCATCACCTGTGATATTTTGTCAAACACTTTGGGACAAAAAAGATCACATAAGACACAAAAGTCTGGTCACAATAAACAACCCCAAATAAAAACGTTCAGGTGTTTCTGAGGGCTGATACCCTTAGTTGCTATTGACCCTTTTCACTCTGTATTTAGCTCTGATAGGGAGCTACTGGGAAGTGAGGGATGTGAGTGTCTCTGCTGCTTGCCCCTGCTGACAAACACAAGTCAGCAGTTAAAAAAGCATCAGCAAAGATACTAACCTGCCTGAGGGCTGAAAAGCAGAGTTAGAAAGTTGTACTTTCTGTACCTGACATCTGATTTGGGTGAAAATGGCAGCAACACACAAATGGCCCCATACAGGGAACGTTCCAGTTTATAACACTGGTAACTAAGAGGAAAACAGGGCGAGACCCTCGGCCGGCGAGTGCTTACCTCTTTGTCTACCCTGGATGCTGCGAAGAGCCAAGATGTTCTGCTCGTCCGAGAGGAACTGCTTCATCTTATGAAATGGCTCCTTGCCTCTCACAGTCAGTTTATTCCATGGCTTTGGCCGGGCTAGTATCTCACTCACAGACCCTTGCGACAGTCCCAACACATAATGTCCAAATATCCGCTGTCCAATATTGTGCTTGATCAACTGCTCTTTCACCTGACGTGCAATTTCGGCTGTGTCTATTTCCTCGCCTTCAGAGATGCTCCCAGCACTTTCTGACTGGCTGGGAGATGGGGCCATGCCATTTACATCCGGACTTTGTTGTAATGGACTTTGGGAAGATATGGAGTTTGTGCTGTAAGGACCTGTTGAAAAAATCATGCTTGTGCTTCCTGCTTCCTGCATTGCCTTGGAGTAGAAGGACTGCATTAGCTGTCGCTGGAGGAGAGAGTTTAGTGCAAATTTTCCTGTGGAGGCCAGGGGTAAGCTGGGGCTCGCCAGGGATGAGCTGAAAAAGTCTTGACTTAAACCCGTTGGTGAGAACTGGTGTGTACCATTAGTATTGGAAGCCTGCTCCCCCGTGTTGCGGAGCAACTGAGAAGGAGGGGAGGCCGGCAAGGTTGCAGGACGCTGACTCTCAGGCTGGTCTTTCCCTTTTCTCCTGGCTGACCCTACAAGGAAGGTCAAACATAATGCATTATGGGGGATCAAAGAGGGAAAAACCAAGATAAAAAAATGCAAAGTTTGCCCCGCAAAGGGAAAAAGTGCAGATTTCCAAGGGCCAATGAAGTGGCGGTGGGGTTTTTGTTTTCATTTTGGTTTTGGTTTCTTTTCATTTGGTTGTTGGGTTTTTTTTCCCCATAATTGAAATTTTAATAAGCCAAACAAGGCCCCCAAAACAAACAACATGCATTTCATGTTTGCACCTTTCTTGTATGTTGCAGCCTGGAGAATCCCCCTTACAAACATTAAAACTAGAACAAGTACATGAAGTGCAGTTATACATTTAAAATAAATGCAGTTACAGACAGCAAGTCTCTTTGTTGTCTCTCATTCAAGACATTACTCATTGGACCTGACTGAACCCAAATGCAGCAAACATTTACATTTTGGAACAAACCAATTTGAATAATCACCATTAGGTGGATGCACCAAGATCCCTCAGTTAAAAGTCATACACCGCTTCAGAATTCAGTAATCCCAGGGCCAGTGGCAACTTTTAACTTCCTTCCAGCTGCAAAAACCATAAGCATTCAAGTATCTGGAAATTCCATGACTTGCCATTTAAAAAATGTGCACACAAGATGTAAAAAGCCCACATTAGGAAAGCTAAACGGCAAACACGCTTTGCTAAGAAGAAAGTATTTTGTTTTTCCAAGCTGACCTGCTGTAGTATATCTAAGTGTATCAGACAGGAAGATTATTGTGTTCTACATGCAAACATTTTGCATAACATTGTGTGTGGGGGAAGAGACTTCTGGTGCCACAGATGAATTTGTTCCCAAAACAGAAGACAACCTCAAATGCTACCGCTTGGTACATCCTGTATTGCCTCTCTTCCCTAACCTTTAAAGACTCTCTGAGGTCTCCAAGTTTGATTTTCTAATCCAGCCTATAAAACTGCAGAAATCCAGCATTGTTCAGTATTCCTGTCGCCTCTTACTCTTTCTGCCATGCATTAGCTCAGACATTCATCTCTCACTCAGCCCTCCCTCCCTTTACAAGACAGGAAACAACCAGAATAGCTGAAAATCGTGTCAACCTACCACTCAGGTCACTATTTGTGATACGCAGCGTGGCGTTCTCAGACTGCAAGGAGCGGTTCTTCTCCAGCAGCAGCACCTCCAGCGGTTTAGATGCATCCTAAAGAAAATCAAAGTGGGAGGTTTGTTTCTAAAAGCATTAAGAGTCTCACTCAGGCACTAAAAAGGATTTCAGAAGAAGAAAACAACTGCTCATCCCTGCTATGAATGCAGCTAGGGAATTCGCCATGCATATATTTGCAGGAATCACTCAGTGCTCCTACGTGAGCCATAGAGGAGATTCACTGTTTAATTTTCATTGTAAATCATCCCTCAATTCTGCATTATTTTGGAATGTGCAATGGAACATTCTCTTAATCCTACTTATTTTAAAATGGTACTGGCACGCCTTCTATTTAAAAGCTGCAGACTCCTTTTAATCTGATTAAAATAGGAGTTAAGATTATATTATTTCCTCTAGGTTGACTGACCCAAGTTGAGCATTCCCTTGAAATGCTGCATTTCAGCAAAACCACTTTGCTCAAAAGCAAAGTCACTCACAGAAACCTGTGTCTGATTTACCTTCCACTGAATATCTACCCCTTGGTCATTAAAGAACATATTGAAAATTAATCCCTGTGTATTGCTATTCAGCTCAGATTTCAGAAGCAGGAATTTAATTCATAACCTTTAAACCTCATTTGCTGGAATAGCAGAGCTTTCTCTGTACTCAAAGGTTTGTTTTCTTCGGTGAGCATTATTTTCAAGGCTAACAAAGACTTAAAAACGGTAAAATCCTTGCTCAGCCTACTGTCAGGACAAGAAACATGCAAATCTCAGCGTAGCTGTCGAACAGCTCTAGTACGTTTAAAAGACCCAATGCCACAACATTATGAATATCCACTCCAGCATAGCTGAAACGTCATTCTCTGTCTTGACCACTTTAAAGAAATTAACAGGCAAAAAATGTTCAGTTCAGCTTTTTGCATAAGGAAACATCAGGAAAACAATGCTCAACCTGTATGTCTCAACAGCCACAGGAAACTGCCCGCACCAACACCAAAGAATTGCAAGACAAATATTTTCTTCATTAACTGAATTGCTGAAGTAAGAAAGAAAACAAAAGGAGGTTCAGTACCTGCGCACCAGAGCTTTCAGATGGTGCAAACTCCATGGATTTCAATATACTGTGGAAGGCAGAAAAACAATTATTGTCTATTTCTTCTTTTCATGACAACTCCACTAATGAGCATTAACATTATCACTTCCTACTCTCCAGCAACACTACATGTGATAACAACTTTCCTTGCAGTAGCCCAGTCTCATAATGAATATAGAATAACCACTCAAACTAGTTATTGGATAAGAAAATTCTCTCGAACGTCATCTAAATCATTCCATATGCAATCCCACCAGGCCAGTTTAAAGCATAAATTTAAAGGTTAATAAGGATCTAACATTTTAAGCTGTCAGAAGCGATATAAATTTCTCTGTGAAGCTTGAAGGGAATGAAGAAGTTGTAGCAAAGCAACAAAACAGGGGAATCACCACCCCAATCACAGTACTTTATATAATAAACACCAGCTCACACAGCAATGAAAATATGCACAAATAATCCTCCCAACGAAGACGCTACAGGCTAAAAGGCAGTTTGTCATTTTAATAGCCTCCTAGTTCTATGGCAAAGGGAAGACAAAATGGGACAATATTTCCTGAGAAATATGAAAGATCCAAGTATTTATAAGTACATTAAGAGAAGAATCTGATAGTCTCCTTGTCAATATTTTATATAAACACTGTGCAGTCGAAGGATGTCTCCCTTCAAAGGCTTTCAGTGACAGTTGTATCATCTGGCAAGCGACAATCTTGCAGGAATACAAACTTAATACTTTGCTTCGTCTAATAAATTGTTTTAAACAGGCCTGCTGCAGGCAGGACATTAACTTCTCAGACTGCAGCAATAAATGATTTCAGCTTCTCATCGTACAAAGATGACATTCATTTGTTGAGAAAAAATACCTACTCAGATATAGATGGTGTTTCTACAGCATTTTTTCAAGTATAAAGCACCAGGAACTTTCTGTGGCAGGAAGAGTATGTCCAACCATGTATATTATATGTGGAAAATGAGGCAAAAAAGGCAGAAGGCCAGTATTAAGATGTAGGGACTGGTTGGGAATGCCACCAGGAGTCAGCTGAACACCCAGCACGCATTAACTGCCTCAGACCATGTGGCGTCCAGCTCCTCTATAAATCTGTCTGTGCTTTAATCCAGAATTAGATGTCCATGAAGTGACACTCTGGGAATCAGTAGGCTCAGTGAGTCATTCAGGATCACTCAAAGCCATAGCAAATCCAAGGGAAAAAAAGTCATTCCAAGACAGGAACCTCATGCGTTGCATACTGTGTTAATTCTGACAGGCACTCCTACAAATATAATTATTAATAAAATCATAAAACTCTGGCCATCAGTTTCATCATATGGGGTCCCTGAATGACACCTCTTCCCAGCAGAAATCACTGTGGGGTAGAGCCACCATCCAATACACAAGCACATAAAGTAATGCCATTAAGACTCTGCTTTACGTGGGCATAACAGCTCACCCACATGCAAAAGTGCCTCTTTTCTGCTATTAGTGGAATTGTGCCAGTCAAGGAGAGAGGCTGTGCATTAATGGCTTGAGTTCTTAAAGATCCTGACATTATACTGACATCACAGGCATGTTTACTCAGGTTACTAATCACTGCTGAAAGCAAGTGCTTCTTGGGACACCTCTTCAGAGGCACAGCTCTGTCTACAAGGACTCCAAGGCTCTGGGGGAGGCAAATATGTAGAGACTCATCTAGGGAAAACCTCTCGGAAAGGGAGGCTGAAAGCACAGCAAGCAGCAATCATGAATTCATAGAATGGTTTCCAATTGGGTTGGAAATGGGTGAGCTTTAATGTCCCTTCCAACCCCCTGCCACAGTCAGGGACACCTTCCACTAGAGCAGGTTGCTCCAAGTCCCATTCAACCTGGCTTTGAACACTGCCAGGGATGGGGCAGCCCCAGCTTCTCTGGGCACCCTGTGCCAGTGCCCTCATGATGGTCAAAAAAGGAGACCCATCCAAATTTTTTTAAAACCCTATTTTTTACTGCAATTACCACGTGACAAACTTCCCGTGGCAAATCCCAGCTGTTTCTCCCATTTCGGCTCAGATCAGCAGTACACTTGTGTCGCTGGTCTCCCAGTAATCCCCACTTACCGCACTTCGGTTTGCCATGCAGAGCAGTCCTGGAGTATACAACTGCCTTCCTTCAGGATGAGACTAAACCAAAGGAAGCTGCACACTCTGAAGGAGGTGGTGTGATGTTCTCTGACCACTGTGGTGCTGCCTACAGAGCCAGACTGAAACCAGCCCCAAGCGCAAAGTAAGCCTACATGTATTTAGTCTATACATGGGGTTCTTGGTACCAAATGGCCAGCTTTGAAGCCCTGATCCTCTTGTGCCCTCCACTTGCACTGGCTGCTCTACAAATGCGTTTTTGTACTGAGTACCTGCTGCTAGCTGGGACCTGCAAAAAGGATCCTGAACACTGCAGCAGCTGTATTTCCCACTGAGCTTGGAGCAGGCATGTGCATTCAAACATCATCTGGAAACTTACTGACCTCTGCCTGCTTAAAGTGTATTCTCTGCTACCTGGAATAGCCTTCTGGCCATTTCACAGGTAATTTCCTATACACTTAGAACCCAAAATACACTAAAACCCAGGTTGATGCTATCTCAAATTGCCCTTGGAGGAATATTCACTATAGCATGTTCATTTTCTCAAATGTAAAAACCAAGTATGTCAAAAATGACTCTCCAAATGTGTCACAAACAGGAATACGAGGAAGCAAAATGTTTCCCCTTTGGATTCCAGCAATATTTTTGCCCTTGAGATTTCAACTCACTCTGCTGCTCAAGATCAGTTATCTGCTCTTTAAAGGAAAGATCTTGTGACTTGAATCTGCACATCTAAGACGACTTGAAAGATCTTACTCTAAAGCAAAGTGTGCATTGGGACAGCTCAACTTTCTGATTGTATGATCCTGACTGCACAGGCAGGAGGGTTAGCACTGTTGTATTACTCAAGAGGGAATTGAAAGTACACACAGAGCTCTCAGATCTAAAAAAAAAAAGGTTTAAATGCCATTTGGCACAAAAGCCAATGCAGCAACAAAGGAATCCTCCCATCCAGATCTTGACGTGGACCACTTTAAGTTCCTCCAAGGTTAGAAGCCAGCTGACATTGAGATCCCTCAGCCTTGAATGCTTCTAACATCCTTGGGAGGGTTAAGGAAAATATATCAGTTCTCAAACAAACAAGGAGTTTATTCTCTTTTTCCTTACTGACAAGGTATCTTTTTTCTTGGTGTGTATGCATGTTATGAGCTGTACTTTCTCGGTCAGTGTTGCAGGGTACAAAGGCAGCAGAGTAAGATTCAGTATGAGGGATACCAGATCTACAGCAATAGACTTTTCATAGCTTCACTTCAGATGAGACTGTCACTCTCAGATGCCCATTTAGATTTTGGCACATCTTTTGGACCAGATGGGAGCAGAGAGGGTGGCGTGAGTGAGCTGCTGTGACAATGCAGCACTGCAAATATCTTCAGTGCTCTCACAGAGGGTCTTAAAACTCCACACCTCCCAGTAGGATGGTATGTGGACCCTAGGCCACCTAGAAGGTAGCTGGCTGTCCCTCCAAAGTCAGCAGATGAAAACTGTTACCCACAAATTAGGGGATATAAAAGCTGTAACAGCCAGGAGAACAGAGTTAATTTACTGGCACCCAACAAGGGCCACTTGCAGGAGATTTTCCCATCTATTTCACTGCAGGCTCATCTTGAAATAACAGAACAGGCAGAAGCACCATATGAACACTTTGATGTCACGGCTTCTCCTGGACCTCTCATCTCCCTTCCCTCATGTCAGTGTTGTAACAAAGAAAAAGTAAAAACCAAAAGGCATTATTGCCAGAAATATAAGGATATAAAAGAGTTTCATAGGACTTAGAACTCATTTGCTGCTTTGGCACATTCACATTTAGTAACTCATGTAACAAATGGAGAGGTTGTGGCCTCATTCCCATTCACTGCTTTACATGAGGGCATACAGCAGCTGAAATCTGAAGCTGAGTTTCCTTAACTCAGGAGAGAACATGGATGTATTTACCCATATCACTAAAAGAATGATGCTTTTTTTGAGACCAGTTAATATTCAGGTATAATGACCAAAGAAACAGTCAACTGAAACTATATCCTTCCATCAGGGTGTGCTGCAGCTGGCACTGAACCAGAACCACAGTCAGCATGGCTTGAATGTAATAGCACCAAGGGCCTGGGCAGTCCCTGGGCTTGCAAAACCAAACGTGCTTCCCACATTCTCCAGGGACGTGTAAACAAAAGCACATGACTCTCAGCCCCATCTGAAATACCTCATTAAACAAGGTAACATTTTTTCAGGCTTCTTAAAATACACACAAAAATGTCAGAATGATGAAAGAAGAGATGGAGTTTCTTGCAGTTATTTAAACCATGACACTAAATGTATTTCCAGTCAAAAAAGTTCTCTTCTGAACCTGACAGCTTATCTTGTTAAGAGTTTAAAATGAGGTTCTTTTAAGTCTCTTAAAAAAGCCCCCTGGAATAGGAAGAGGCTGTTTGTGGCTTTAGTTTAAAACCACAATGTATTAGCAAAAATATACAGTGAAACAAGCACAGCATTAAAATGGTAAGTGCTGAACAGCGGCTGGCAAAAGCATAGAAAAGGTATTATGGCCAAAGGCCCTGCATTTAATTCTTGATCCACATCACATTCAGCCGTTGGCTGGGGATTTTTAAAGAGTCATCCACCTAAAATACCACAGATTTTCAAATGCTTTACCCTTGGTGGACGATAGCTTTAGCACCTTTTCTTCATGACACTTGTATTATTTGCTACTGCGATACTGCTGCCACAAAAAGGAGCACTCTCAGATACAGCATCGGTTCTGGACGCAATTTCTGCCAATATTCCCAATTTCCCCATCTTTGTGGGTTTGACTGAATTCTTTATTGTTCCGAGATCACAGATTTGTGGCTTCATTTAACAAGCATTGTTAAACTACAGTTTGTGAAAAAATTACGGTAAGCATTTAACACTTACTTTAATTCTTTCTTAACCTCTTCATAATCAGCCTGTCCTTTCAGTTTTTCTTCCAGTTGCTTTAAAAGAAAGAAGATGGATTTAATTATTTAGGTTTTTTTCTTTCTGCAGGCTTTCAAAATCATCTTTAAATTATTCCATATATACAGCAGCACAAGTGAGGGTTAATGACTCGAACCTAATTTACATGTATTAGAAAACAAACTATAACCAATTCAACATAAACACAATTATACCTCACTCTTCCTTTGTTTACATAGTGCCAAGCGTTACAGAATTCAGTAGGTCCCAATTTGGCTGTTTGCAATGTCACTGTTAGGTGCTCAGGAAAGAAGGTATTAAAAATGGGGGCACCTGAAATCTTTATGCAACAGATAAATGGAATAACCAAGCAGGATGCTTTGGCACACACTGGATAGGACACATAGGACAGTTCTTGATAACCTTATCTACGTGGAAAAGAAAAAAGAAGACTGAAGAAGCTGCTGTTGACTCGAACAAGCCTTAGGCTTGAAGACTTCTACAATGCCTCATGCTCAAACAAAACAGCTGTACCATGTCATTTTACAAGCATTACTTATTGCAATAGCTAATATGATTACACACTGGAGATGAAGCATTGAGACCAACTCAGCAGGTCTTTTTGCTCAGGTCTACCTGACCTGGGGCTGTTTCAATGGTTTCTCTTTGGTCTGAAGATGCCACAAATGTTGAAATAAACCTTCTAACACAATGCTACACATTTGGACCTTACCCAGCTCCCAACAACAGCGCTCATCACTACAGGATAAATGCTTCAGGAGGCCTAAAACATAGTGATACATAATTGGTGCTGTTATGTTGCTTGCAGGAGCCACATTCATTTCCCACTAATAATTTCTTTGCTTAGTACAGGCACACCTGATTTAAGCAAAGAAAGAGCAGAGCTTACTGGCTTACAACTTCCATGGGTAAGTTCACGGTAGCTTCTCTTCACTTCATTTTTTTGGTGTAAAAATTGTCACAGAAACCCAAAGGTCATAGGAAACAGAAATAACACAAGGTCAAAGCACCCTCAAAGACAGAGCATCTGCTTTGAAAATGAAAGGAATATATGACATGAAAAAGGAAAATAGGGCTTTATGTCCAGGAGAGGCTGCCTTCAGAGGAGAAGTGAATTGAAGAGGATCCTGCACCACTCCTGGGCTGCTTGCTGAATGCAGGAGGAAGGCAGGGAAGGCCTGCAGTGAACATGGATAATTATAGCAAACCCATTTTAAATGCAGCCCCATAAAGTTCCACACCAGCAGTTACGGGTGTATGAACAGCAGGGCTGGGACACATGAACAATTAGAAGTAGGAACCTCTTAACCCAAGTAAGCCCGTGTGTACATGTCACCCATCTCAAAGCTACCAATGGGTACAAGCAGCAAACCTGAACACTGTAATACAGCACCCACAGGTCAGCAAGTCCATCATCTGAGCCATCTTAATAATTTAAATGAGGCTTCTTCAAGTGACAACAGCAGCATGATGGGGCTTTGTTGGATTTCCAGCGATTTTGCTATCTATTAAGAGATTCCCTGTCAAGCCCTTTCCAGTTGAGGCATTGCTGGCATTTCCTTCTTGCATTAGTACACACATTAAAAAGCAGTGACAAAGTGGACATCCATGTTATTAATATACCACCCTCTTAAATTCTTGTTCCTGCTTTTTGACACCACAATCCACAGTCCTTAGTCACTGCTGACAAAAGGCATCTCCCAGCAGTTAACGGATGGGCCCTGCTCTGGCAGCTGCTCAACAAGCAGCTCTTAATGGATCAGCACCACTGACTGTTGCAAGAAAGCACAAACTGTTAAGTGTGGAATTTGCACTCTATGGAACACTGGTGAAACAAGTGGCCTCTTAAGAAAGTCCTGTGTCCTAAATCCTTAGCCATCAGTAACTCATGCAGTCATTCAGATGTGTTAAATAGACAGAAAAGACACACATCTTTTAGCCATTTCACCAGACACGGCCTGCCTTACCAAATTCCACTTACTAACTGGAATTACAGGGATTACTGACTTTGCTTTATATAGCAGAGACAGCTGTACAGGTGTTCTGGTCCTGGATAAGGTGACCAGGAAAATCCTACAAATACTAAAGATGTCTGAGGTTCTGATAACCTCCAACATGTGTTGAAATCTCATTATGCAAATGCACTACATAACCCCAGGGCCCAAGGGTCACTTCAGTCCTCTCAGTTTTAAGGAGGGCCAAGCTTCAATGTGCCATGAGTTCAAGCAGCTTTTCAAGCTGCAGCTTGGTGCTGAAAAAGAGTCACTTTAACATGGAATCCAGCTGGACTTTTTAATGCACCAGATGAGGCTCAGTAAGACTGGAGAGGGATCTTTAAACCAGCGAGCCAGAGAGCACTCGGTACTGGGTAGGAGACTGAGCATCATGGCTGACAGCTTTAAAACTCCAATGCAGGCAATGGGAGGATGGTGCTGACCACCACACAGCATCTTTCAGCTCCCCCTGGCCATCTTCTAACTGCTTCTCGCTCCTCTACAGCTTAAAGCAAGGATACAGTACAATTCTTCTCTTCCTTACTTGTAGCGTTTTGGGGTCTACAGGATAGCTTTTACAGTAGGGATAACTGGCTATTTACACTAGCCCTCAGTATATAAAGCACTGGAATAAATTTAAAACAAACAATATCCTGGATTAATCTGTTAGTTCCTTATGCAAGGACATGCTAAGAAAAAAGCCTTTTGTAGAAACAGAGATAAAATACAAGAAAAGCTAATGATTCCCATTGTCATTCTTTCCTGTTAGGGAAAGGTGAGGCACTGGAATGGGTTGTCCAGGGAGGTTGTGAATGCTCCATCCCTGGCAGTGTTCAAGGCCAGGTTGGACAAAGCCTTGGGTGATATGATTTACTGCGAGGTGTCCCTGCCCATGGCAGGGGGGTCAGAGCTTGATGATCTTAAGGTCCTTTCCAACCTTAACTATTCTATGTTTCTATGATTCTATATTAAATGTAACTGTATAGGGATATGCTTTACCCTGAAAATATTTCTGAGAATTTTAGGTGAAAAGCCCAGCTAGTAAAAAAAATGAAAAGCTGCTTTGACAAAATGAAGCTGCTTTGGACTCTCAGGTACTTGTATACTATTATAGCAGGTTGGCAACCAGCAGTATTTTACTTTGAATTGTATAAAACCCACATACATCCATCACTTCCAAGTACCTAATATAGAGATTGTTGCCATGGAAAATCTGCACCTAAATGTATACTTTACTAAACAATATAAACTAACAACTGAGAATGCACTGCCTGTATATAAGCAGACTCTTTAGGCACTTGGCATCTTCCCAGTGAATGACTGTTTTAAAATGTATTAGTATGGTAATTGTCTCAAAGAACCCTGTGAAATGCACAGAACATGGTATAACAAAGGTTCAAGCTGTGAGACAATCTGGAGGAACTAATACTTTGCACTAAATATCAACCTGCTTAATTCAGACAAAATACTTCCTAACCTCCTCCAACAGACAATAATGCAGGGAGCCAGAGGACAGAAGGAATGGAGTGGTGGTGTTTTACACACTAGATCAGAAGATATTCCATGTTAAGGAATTGTCTTGCATTTGTTGTGTGAATAAACTCATGTTGGAGCATACATAGATTGGCTCCCCTCTTATTTTTAACAACTGAGTAAGTTATTATTGTGTCTTTAACTAAAGTGTCTTAGGTAAATACCATGTGCTGTATTAATGGTTCTAAAACATCTAAAAACCCCCATAAGACTAATGCCATAGTTCAGAGTGATAAACTAAAAAGCCCATATTTAATTAACCCAGGTTATCTGATGGATCTCTTTGCTAACTAGCACTGCTTTATTGTAACTGGGTAGCAGGGAAGCTCTAACACCCAGCAACAAAGGGTTAATACAAATACGATTAGAAAAGACTTGTTGCTAGAGGACATGTTTTGATTATTAGATCAGATGAAGATAAAGAAGCAATAATTCTGAAAGTATTTCTGTATTGTTTCATTAAGTCACAGGGTATTAAAGAATTCCCCCAAGATATGGTCTGAGAACATTGCTTTAATTTGTGAAACTGTGATTCATTTTTGGTGGAGGCAACCATTACAATCTCAGTTGAAGCAATCCCTCTATAATCAAACATGAGATCAACACATTGCCACTGAGATTTGGGTCTTTGTACAACAGATCTCAGACACAGGTTTTCCCAGCACTTAGGGGTAAAAGTATGTATTGTGAAATATTTTTATACTGCAACAAATAAGGTTAGAGAGGGTTGAAATGACTCAAATTTTATCAATAGAGTCACTGCATCAGACACTATCAACAAGAACCTAAATACAGAGCATTACCCGGGCAAGCCTATGAGAAAATGGAAGGAGATTACTGTACTGAAAATCAAAGGCTTGCTCTGTAATTTCTATGATCCTGTTCCCTTTGAAGTTAATGGCTAAACTAATACTGACCTCACCAGGAACATGCTTTATTCCAAGAAAATCTGTCAAGTGCAAGGACTCAAGATATTTTCTATCAGGCTTTATGAAAAAATAAAAAACCCCTTTAAGACAGGTGTAGCCAGCAAAATGTGTTGCTCAAAACCAGGCCAGCTCCTTCCTCCCTCATTAAGGGTAGTGCTCACATAGCGACAGATGGGCAGAGACTGATACTATCAATATAGGAACCTAAAGGGTTTCCTTTGCTCTACTGAATTTTCATCAACATTTTCATAAAAAAGGCTGTCTGAAGACACGCTGAAAGCAGACTGAATGCAACACTTCTGCTTTCATTCCTAACAGCCATTTCTCCACATAAATGAAAAAGCGCCAGAGCAAAACCAGTAAGCCCTAAAAAATGTCAGAATTAAAACAATTTGTAAGAGTTTCAATTGAACCTTAAATCACTGTGATAGAGGAAAGCTGCCCACGCCAGAGGCAGAGCTAAGTGGGGACTATCAGCCTCCTGCTTTCAAAAAACCCTCAGACTATAAAACCTGCAAAAACTATGAAGTCTTTAATGGAATAGATAAATTTATCTTGTTTACACTTTGAAGCTCATAGACGGTAGAACAATGAAAGAAACAGGACTTACAGGAAACTGATTCATAACACATGTTAGGAACCATTTTTCATGCTTACTGATAGACTAAAACTCTGTGGGCTAGTGCACAAAGAAAGTGAAGCTGCTGGAGCAAAAGGTAAAAGGGTCACTCACAAAACGATTAGATGCTTCTTCTGGGTTTAGTGCAGTGCTGCTGGTATGGAAACGAGTTCAGGACTGAACTGCTAATTCTAAATGAGAATTACTGTGCAGCAAACACACAGCTAAAAGAATGAATGAGATGGTTATTAAGGCTAAAAAGCAGTCTCTGATTGTGCTGGGTTTTATGCTCTAAATGATACACTTCCCTTCGCCAGTTGAGAGAACTGGAATGGGTAGCAGGTAAATTCAAAGATAGATCATAAACATTCCTGGCAAATCTTCAATAACAATCAGTGGAGTGGGAATTGAAAGTTTTAAAACCTAACACAGATTTGCTGTGCTGTTCCAGTTCAGCTACTGCACTCCAGAGCCATGGTAAATACATGATGGGGTTTGCTAGTGGTTGTAATTCTAAAGGTAGTCATGTTCTGCACAAACAGATTTCAAAACAGTGAGAACTAGGTCAATCATATTTCCACAAACCTGAGATCACTTAGAATAAAATGCCACAGAAAACAGAATTCAACAGCACACTGAAGAAGTCAGGGGCTTTTATGGTGCCTCTCAGAATCACAGCAAACTTCCACCAGTAATACCCAATGTTGGTATAAAGGCTGTATCCTTTGAAAGGTGCTGAGCATGGAACTGAGCCTTACTTTAAGTGTGCTGTTCTTGGCAGTCAGCTGCTGCTCCAGCTGGGAGATTTGGCTGCTGGAGTTCTCCCGCAGCTTGGTGAGGCTGCCCTGGAGTCTCTGGACATCTTCTACCAGCTGGGCAATCTCCCGCTCCTTCGCAGCCAGCTCCACCTCCAAGCTGGACCGTGTCAGCACCTCGATGGCCTGCTCCTAATGGGAAAACATGAAACAAAACAAAGGCAACAAGCTTGAATTGAGGGCAGGTAGGTAAGGATCAAGCACGGCTCCGGGTGGCATGAGAAAAACAAACAATTTCTAAAGCTGGGACTCCTGTGGTTGACTGTGTGAATCTGGAAGATGAACCTTCCTACTCCCCAGCACAGCTCTTGGGTAAAATAGGGCTAATGGAGAGAATAAATGTCCCTATTTCAGAAGTGCACTGAAAAGATGCAGCAGTGAAAGTCAAAGGATTCTATTTAGATCTATTTATTATTAATAGTCCAAATGCTTTGACAACTATGAAAATCTGTGCTTACAAAATACTAATCAGATAAAATATTCGGAAGTAATGGAGCAGAATTGCTTAATCAGGAAGGGCAGAGCCGTGTGCCTTTGGCTGTCTGGAGGCATGCTGCACAGCTCAGGCAAAATAGTCAGAAATGGCCCCAAACTGCTGCTTCCAATGCACTTGCTCCTTGCCTGAAAATTGCTCACTGTTAAATATTATTGCTAGCAACTAAAACCTCTTCTCCATGGGGATGAAGATAGATGTGACAGCTGTAAGACAAGGCCATTCTCCCTTCGGCCTCCACTTTTACAGATTCCCTTTTCCAAATCAGGATCTTTCTTCTTCCCATTTCCAACAGCTGCAAAATCTGTCCTCAAGTCTGAAACCTCCTCACTGGACCCAACTTTCCAGTAGGACAAGAATTAAGAGGGGACAGAGAAGTTAAGAAGGCAGATCTATTCAGAAAAGGTAACACAGACTAAATGTACCACTGCTTTTGTCTCCTTTTGTGTTAAGAGATCAATAGCTATAATGCATCAGAGCTCTGAACCTCTCTTCCATGAAGAACACACACAAATTCTTGGGCAGACCTGGGGAGCGTGAGGCAGCCCAATAAAGAAGGCACATTGCATTATAAAGCCTAAAACACATCTTACAAAGGTTAATGGCTGTTCCTCAGAAAACACCAGTGAAGGAGGAAAGAATCCATTTACAAGAGACACACACAATGATCGTAAGCATTATACCAAAGATCCTACGGCAAAAAAGCTGAAAACTCAACCCCCCTGTGCTGTCACCCAAGCACTTTCCTTACAATTCAAGATGACATTGCAGCAGGTTGAAATATACTCCATCCCCTCTTTGCTGGAAAATACAGGCACAACAAAATGCCTTTTCCATATCTTCTAAACACTTAGCTTGATTCCCAGTGACTGCATAGCATTGTATCTCAGAAAGCTACATGTAGGAACAGCAGTTAACAACGCTTTCCTATTACACTGAATTATACTTTTAACTTGAAAAAACCTCTAATTTGCTTGCATGAAACATCACAAGTTATATAATCATCTGCTGCTTGTGCCTATTGAGACTCGAACGTAGAGTCTGAAATAAGATAGATAATGATCATTTTCCTCCTGCAGTAGTTGTCATATTAAATATAAATGAAGTGCAGAAGTACTATTAAATACAAGAAAGACCTAATGTTAAAATAATGATAAGACTAGGACATGAGATAAGAAGAGGTAGGTAATTCAGAGTTACAAGTGATATTCAGGCTTCTTATTTTGTATTTTGCAGCCTGCGTATCTATCTTCTGCCATCTCTGAGAAAATACTGGGTCGTATTAATAGACGACCAAACAGATCCGGAGGACTTAGGGTTTGTTATTCATTTTCTGCAAATGTATTTTAAAGGCAACCGCGTGTTTCTCTAATATCAGTGTCAAGCATGTATATGGCTTGCAAGTAAAAAAGCAATATAACGAGCACAATTCCTTTTGTTTGGTAAATCTGCTGCTTAGAAGAAGACTAAATTTCACTTAATTGCATATTTACATTTAAATACTCCTATTTTTCCTTTGGCAAACAAAAATCAAAGTAATCTGCCTGCTCATCTGTGATACCTGTTAACCCAGGACCAGCTGGAGTCCTGTAACAACACCCTGTGCCCACAAGGTCTGATCAGCACAGTCACCGCTACCAATCTCCCCAAACAGCACTCCTTGCTTTATTTAGAGACACACAACAAGCAACGAAATCTTTAGGAGTGCAGGATATCTTCTGCATTTTCTAAGCTTCTTTTATTGGGTTTATAGGTGTAATTTTCAGTTTAGATATATCCAGTGAAAACTGGAATGATACTGAACTTACTTCCAGTTCCTCTGACAGCCCATACACTATGAATAAGAAGAATGAGCAGGCAGTAGGTCCCCACTAATGCAACCAACACTGGGCAAAGTTGGTCCCTTGGTCTGAAGCTCCACACCTCCTCTGTGCCCTTCAGGCAGGCAAGTGCTGATGGCCCACCAAGGCACTGTTTGTTACACTGCATCAATCCCTTTATTTTTCCTCTGCTGATGCCCTTACTGATGTGATTTAACTTCTGAGTCACTGCTATCCTCCTAGACCAGCTTAGGAGAGCTATGGCTCACCATACCAGTCACCTCTGTCCTTCCCGTGGTCTTCTCAAGCCACCATGCCCCTCAGAAGTTGAACCAAACCACAACCCCAAAGGAACACAATTCCACTGCAGTTAAAATATTACTCCAAACAGGTATTTTTATAGCTGCGAGCTTAAACTGAAAGAGTTGTTCTGTAGGAATGTCAGAAACCTGTAAGAGCCAGTAAATATTTTCTCTCACCACATCAGGTGCCTTCTGGATCTGCGTAGCAAGTTGGAGAGATTTGTTAGCTGACGAGAGCTGCTCCCTTAAGGTCTCTGCCTCTCTCTGAGCCACCTCTGCCCTCTGAAGGAAATGAAAAGGGGTGAAAAGAGAAAGTACATTCAGTTTAACAACTGACAATTATTACAAGAACATTCATCAATTCATGCCTGACTGAATATAATTGATTTTCCTAAACACTCAACCTAATAAATGTTAGGAAAAAACATAGAATGTGATGGATTTTTATTTTAAACAGTACAAGGAAGAAATAATTGAGCGATTATGACAGTAATTTAACGCTAGGAGCAAGGAATCCCCTGCTGATACTAATGCTGCGGCCCACTGAATTTCCCAGACTGAATAAATACAAGTGGAAATGGAGTCTTTTTATTCAATTTCTTTCTATTCTCATAGACCAAGCAGATTTTATTGCAAGGTTCCTCATGGGAATAATTCTCACGGGTAAATGCTGAATTAAAAGATATTCTGACCATTCTCTCGAACACACACACAATGTTGTGGGCTTGCTTTCTTCAGTAATTATTTCCCCAAACACGAATTGTTAGATTCTGTTCTTTCAGCACATCTATTTATTCAGCAATATTTAACCCTAAACTGACGATTTTGCACAGCTCAGTTACCAACTGCTGAGGTTTTACGCAATATCTGATCAGCCTGGGACCTGGCTACCAGATAGAATTCCCCTATAAATACTGAGTAATGATAGAAAGGAGAAAGGCAGAATTATGAGGAAAGACTGTCTGTACAAGAGTTTGGGTAGAGACAGATGGATCAGTAACTTCAGGCAATAAATAGCAGCAAAGTCCTTTCCATAACTGTGTAGAAGCTTCTGTTCAGAGAAGTGGAACAGAAGCTGGTTGTTCTACAGTATATACTCCTCCTAGCCAACCTTTCTTCTCTCTTCTTAAAAGAAATGTATTTTATTGTCATAAAGCCACACTGAAACCTCCTTGAGTAGTCACTGCTTGTCATCCAGGCTATCCCATGCAAATCATGTTGCACTTTCATTAGAAAACAGCTAGCATAATTTTCTATCTCTACTTGTAAGATGTATCAGCAACTCTTCCAAACCCATGAGCTGCTGCAAATCATGGCCAGAACTTTTCTTGATCAACTTTTACCCTTTACACTGATGGGTCCCCTTCCTTTATTGAGTCATAAATTCACACTGCCATTTTTTAAGCCACCATAAACTGCCATATTTCTGTGTGTCAGACTCCTTGTTTTTTCAGCTAATCCTTTTGAAATCCTCAGTCATCTAAAGCAGTACATATAAAACCTATATCCCTGTATGGGTGCATGATCTTTGAGCTTCTAGTCAAAGCAGAGACTCTGTCTGCATGTGTAATCAATCAGTAAACTAACAGCAATCAAATACTAAATGCATCATCTGTGCTATTTGCTCACAACATTATATTAAATGATTTTGCATGGGTTCTACAGCTGCAATTAAAATGTGATTGTAAAAAGTACAGTATCGCAGCTCTAATAATCAGAGCATGGGACACAACCTATTGTGTGCTTGAAAACATGGCAGCAGCATTAAAAAGGCACCAAGAAAGAAAGTTGATGTTGTTTATGCAGTTGGGTAATATCAGGATAAAAACCTGAGCTAACAGTACACATTGAGATAAATTATTTTCTTGCACTTTATTAGATGTGGATGTACATATATTGATCTAATAACTGCTAAACAACTCCAGCAAAGCAGGACAAGTTACTACACTGTGGCACTTGCTCTACTGCTGTATAAGTAATGAGTTTTGCAGCCTTAAGCAATTCTGCTGATGGCTTCCATTCACAGCAGCATTGTTTTCAGAACCTATTCAGCTCGCATGCAAGCAAACCACAGAGGGTATTTCTAATAGATGTTACATCTGCATATACAGTAAGCTGTCAGCTGCCCTCTCTGCACAGCCTCCCCAGCCAATTCACACCACCTGTTGTAATCCTGTGAATAATATTAGACAAGATTTCATACTAGGCATTGTTGAAAAGACACCAACAGAAACTTTGGGCTATTCTGCTTGGGAAATACGCGTCAATTTTCCTCTTATTTTTTATTCCAGAATGGAAGCATTTTCGAGCCATAATCAGAGATGCATTCAACGCCTGGAAAGCACTTGTGGGTGCTATTGCAATATAAATTATAAATTACACATAAAAACCTGTTAAAAGAACAGCAGGTTCAAAATTGAGCACTTAGAAGTTCTGAAAAGCCAGCTCCAGGGCCGCGGGTGTGCTCGGCCACCCCCTGCGTGCGGGGCTTTGGGAGGCAGGCTGGAACCACTCAGTAACATGCTATTGCTTCTCCCCACAAGACCCCCCCTGCTTCATTCAGCTCTCAGGATGAATAATGCTCACTGAATGAGTATTTTGCTTCGTACTCCTTGTTCCGTGTGTGACCTCTGCGGTTTATTTACTGCAAACTAATCCCACCCTCCTCTGCAGATAGGATTAATCGCTTCCTCACAGGCTGCGCTCTGGTTTCCACCACCAAAGGAGCCAAGTGCTTCAGAATCCTTAATGAATGCACTGGCACAACCTCCATCTTGAGGTGTATGGGCTCCTTAAGTCCCAGCACATCTCCATTCAGGTGGTGTCAAACACAACCACCCCCTGTGGCACAGGCTGTGTTTGGCTGTCTCTCACCTGCACTCGAGACCCCACACAGCAACTGCCCCCCTGGAGAACACTATGGTTTTCCCTCTCTGACTTCCACCCCCCTCTGCTCGTCACTTTGTTCCCTTCCTAATTCATTTTGGCTGCTGGAAGCACCATTTCTGCCTCCTCTGAGCTTCGTGCTGCCTTTAGCTCCAGGCAAGCTCATACCTCGCACGACCTAACAAGTACACAAACTCCCAGAATTAGCCTTACCCCCACGATTTCCTCCTTCCTCTTTTCCTCGTTGCTTCTTCTCCAGCTGTCCTCGTGGAAGCCCCGTCCTGGTTCTTCTCCTCCCTCCTTTCCTCCCTCCCCAGCACGACTCCAGTCTCCGCTTCCTGCTCTCCGTGCTCTCACGCCAGCATTGCCCGTCTCCCCATCGCAGAAGGGGCAGCCTGGGGGAGCGTCTCCCCTCCCCGTGCTCCCTGTTGAAGTGGCACTGAACCTTACATTGCCACCAAGAGAAGTAAAACCTGGCTGGTTAATGTTCACCAGCCGGCACAGCGATAGACTGCAGCGTGCTTGGGACAGGCACAGACATCAAAGCTGACAAATTCAAACCAGATTCTGTTGAGTTGGTCTGAACTCTTGGGGTTTTTTTCAGACGCTTATAGGCTGGCCAAACTTGGGGTTTTTCCCTTTCTTTCCTTCCCTCCTACTTGAGCAACAGAAGATACAACCCTGAGAAAAAGGCAAACGCTCCTTCATCGAGTGCCAAAGCCCTTGTCTTCAATAGGGGCACAGCAGGCTCCTCACCAAAGTGAGAACAACTTGCAACTTGTGGGGAAAACTGGATTACTTTTTGTCCTGATCTTGTCCTTAGAAATGGTTGAATAATTTTTCCTGAAATAAGAAAGTGCAGGCAGAGACAGACGCCCAGGATGGAAAATGGCTAAAACCTAGTGAGCTTGCACAACCTCAGTCACTGGGAAGTTCACACAACCTTCTCTTTGTCTGAAACTATCCCACTTCGGTTAAGAAATGTATCTGCCATAGTACTGCTGCTTTTCATCACTCACTGCTAAAACTCTTGGTTCCTCACCTCCAAATCTTCTATGCACAACCCAGAAACCCCACCATGACCAATGACAGTCACACTACTGGTCTTCAGAGAGGTGATGCAAACCCAGCATTGCCTAATACTGCTATTTTTCTGGATAGTTAGATCATGCAATTCCTCCTCATTTCTATACTGATGTTTTTCTAGCATAGAGCTACCTCCCTGGCAACAAAGTATTTCAAAATACTTTTATTCTCCTTAATTCAGCATGTAAATATTGTACTGTTCCCATTGGAGCCAGCAGGTCATGAGCATAATGCTGCTGTGTGCTTTCCAATTAAAAAACCCCAAAGCCTTACACAATATATCCAGTTTAAATTATTCTCATTGTTTCCTGACAAGATAATGAATAGCATGAACCGAATGCTCTTCTACTTACAGTAAAATGTTAATTTGATCAAAGACCAGTGGTGTGAATAGCAAAATGAGATGCTTACAAGCAAAAAAAGTGTAATCTTCCCCTTAAAGTTCCACCAGCCAAACTGTATTTCCTTATTACATGCTGAATTCAGTGCTATATGTAGAAGAATCTTCCTATGGGCAGGAGTGTTACATTATCACAAGTAATTCTGCTGAAGTTAATGAGCCCAGTTATGGCAGTAATCAACAGGCTTGGTTTTGAGTGCTTGAAGCTGATGTTCTTACTTGCAAGCTGCTGCAGAAGCTCTGTTTCTCAGAGTATGAGATCAATTACAGCAAACTGGTTCAATGGGCTTTCATTTTCTAACTTTCGAGCCATACAAATGTATTTGAAACCCTTGAAACGAGCCCAGCTTTCCCAGAACAACAGCCAGGTTATCCGAAAATCTACGCCATGAAAGGTTCTTCAGGGCTCTGCCATCTATTTTTTCCAGCAAAGGAATATTACATGAAAATAAGTAAAAAAGCCCTCCAACAAACAGAAGAGCTTGGGTTGTCTTCACTCTTGTCTTCAGGCTATTGCACTTTCCTTTGTGCACTGAAAGGCTGCCAGATAAATGTATTCCCAACTGAAGGCCAAGCATTTACAGGAAACTGCTGTGTTTGTATGAAAATAGTATTAACCATATTTTGCCTTTATACAGCACCTCTCCATGCAAGGATCTCAATGCACTTTATAAAGTAAATGTTAGTATTCCATTTTTAGAGGTAGTGAAATCACTGGATGAAGGGACCTCATCTGATAGGGAATATCATCTGCTTCTTATATCTAACCTGAACTTCCCCTGTTTCAGTTTGAACCCATCACCCCTTGTCCTATTGCTACAGTCCCTGATGAAGAGCCCCTCTCCAGCATCCTTGTAGACCTCCTTCAGATACTGGAGGCTTCTCAATTTTTAAACAATGTGAACTGAATATCTAAAGCTAGCAAAGAAATCTGGACATATGAATGGCATGAAACCACACTCACTACTAGAACCTTAAAATGAGCTTCTCTCCCTTTCTTTTTACCACTCCAAATTATTCCTAATTTCACAACATAAGAAGAATTATTCTTTTCAGTCAAAGCCTCCGTTTTTCTCACACACAACTGGCTGGCTCCAGGTTGCTACACGGAGTATAGAAACAGAATTATAATTCATTTGAATAAATCTGTCATCCCAAAGATTCCTGACTTACTGCCATAAACACTGAGGAGAAAGGTGTAAACTTGAAAAGGTACAGAAAAGTGCTAACCATAAATATTTGTGTCAAATATACATTCACACAACTGTAACTGCTGCAAGTGCAGAAAAAAAAGCACCCTGGAGCTTCATTAACTTCCCTGATTGGAAATGGTAATATTCTGGGAATCAAACAATAAAAAATTCAAAGATGCTCTATCCCAAACTATGATAAATCATTTATTTTGACAAGTACGCAGAGTTTAGCTTTAATTATTTATTATTATACTTCGTAGCATATCAGAAAATATGCAGTGATTTATTGTGCAAAATGAAATCTTAATAAAACGAGTCCCTTCCCCAAACTACAGGATTATTAAATCTTCATGGAAATGGGGCGTGAACTCTCAGGTTATTTTCATTATCGAGCTGGTGGGTTAGCAAAGTGAAATAAGCCATTCCCACTGCATTTAGTTATAATTTGACTTCAGCCCTTTACAGATATAGGCCATACAAGCCAAGGAGGGGAGCTGAGAGGGATCACAGACCCCAGCTGCCAATGCCAGGAGCTCTTCTGTCTTGCAGATGACACAGCTGCACCTCGCACAAGTCAGGGATGTTACATTCAGATTGTGCATCCCTGCTAAAGCTACATGTTCTGGAGCTGATGGCTCCTCTCTGGGCAGGCCTAGGTAGACCAGCCATCTTCATGTACTATTAATGTCTTTTTTGTACCACTTTATAGCTTTCTGGACTTTAAAGCAAAAGAGTCACTCCATGGGCCACTGCTGACAGCCACCTCCCAGCCAGGATCCACCTCACCATAACAGTGCTGCCATCACATTGCTGCATCCAGAAGCCACATCCAACCCTCCCACCCAGCTTGCTGCTTTCAAGGGAGTGATTGATTTCTCTTGTTGATTAGGTTTACAGTTTATATATTGCATTAATGATACAATGGAGAGGGACCGAGCTTTGCAGTCACTACCCCTTTTTCTCTCTAAGTAGAAAATTGCAAAGCTCACTGGTATTTAAAGGTAATTATTTCTACGAGCTAATAATTTCATCTGGGGATGACAGCACACAAACAAGCCCCAAAAGCTCGTGCATGAAACAATCTGAGGATCCAAATGAGGGAAGAACAGTGGGGGAAGAGACATGATGGAGTCTGAAGATTAAGAATGGTCTATGCTTTACCCAACAGGACATAAGGGTGGAGAGTTACATCAGCTCTGTTCCCAAGGCTTTTACCACCCAGAATATGTCAGTGAGTACATCCATCCTCCCGTTATTGCAGAACTGGAGGGGGAAATGACACTCTCCACCTCTTAAGAGTCAGAGGTCCCCTCACACAGAGCAAGGGAAGCTCATAAATGCCAGCTCTGGATTTAGAAAGGGCAGGAACCAAGACAGGGATTTTCAAGAAATATCAGACATTTAAAAATTTACAGCAAATATTTTTCACGTTTTCAGTAAAATTTTTTTCCTGTTTTGTAAATTTCTGCTCCAAAAAACCCTGTCATTTGGGAACGTTTTAATTCCAGAGCAGGAAAAGCTCCCATGAGAATCAGAAAGGCAGTCTATCCTGAACGCAGGAGTCATGCTGAGCATCACTCTTTACAGGTAGCCTTAATAATGGGGAATAAGTACTTACTGAAATGATAAAAGGAAATGTTAGTTTAACTGTTAAATATATAATTACTTTAAGTACTTGTTTCTGCAACTGTAACACTTGAGCCTGATGCAAGCTCACTTTCTGGCCTGTGCAACGGACTTAATTTCTTCTAATTCTTTCTTTCAGCTATAAAGAGGTAAAACACAGGAATTGCTGCTACAAAGATTGCTTTATTATAGAAGTGTTTTAGAAAGGTAAAGCATCACACAAGACAAGGGCTATGGGCATGTTCCAGCAAAGCAGCTGAGCTACTCCAGGAGCTCCCTCGTGAACTTTCCTTTCCCTGTCTGCTCCCAGGCCACCCACTTCCCTTATGCCCCTCATCGCAGCACTGTTGGAAAACCTGGCCCCTTCACTCCAAATCCAGGCTTCCCTGCAGTTACTGAGCTCAATGGAATCAGTGAAGGGTCCCCCAATTGCAAAAGCTGCTGCTAGGAAGAAGACAGGGCCAGAGCAGCTGGGAGAGGAAAGGAGATGGAGAAAGGGGAGATAGAATCACCTCTTCTGCCTTTACAACAGCACGGATGAATTGCACACTGATGTTTACACACAGAGTTTGCTGGACTGCAACCAAAGGAAGGGTTACGCACATAATCAGCTATAATTTTTGGTTGATTAAACAAAAAAGACCCCAAAATAAAGTAAAAAAAACCCCAAACATATTGCAAGTTTGCTCCAGTTAGACAGAAAAATATCTTTAACATTTCTAGATAAATAGATATATTCCATTTTAGTATGGCAATGAGGACATCAAAAATACCTGTTCTTTAACTACAACCCCCTTTCTACCCAGAGAAAAGAAAAAACCTACTGGGTAAATCACTGCTGTAACTGCAAAACGTGCTGCCTTTGCAAAACCCACAAAATAATTCTACTAAAACATCTTTAACACCTACATCATTTCTAAAAAGTCTACAGATTTTCAAATAATTACTAGCACTTTCATAAATATTTAATGGTGTCTACAAAAGTTCTTTGACAGAACTAAAAACCCACTGTGCAAACCCCAGTTTTCTTTTACTGACTGAATAATCAACCCAACAACTTCCAAATCTGCCTTCTGCTTCATTAGTATTTTTCCAATTTATAAAGCACTGATGTAAGGGACAATAAACTTGCTGTACTTGTCAGCTGCACCAGGGGAGTGTGGGGCTGAAAGCTGAGCTAGCAAAAGGAAAAGACAAAACAAAACAGCAGCTGGAGGGGGTTTAGTTTTCAACAGGATCAGTGACCTGCTCTGGCTCCACAAGCATTAGTGACAGCATGAGGTGTGCAGCAGGACTGCATGGTGGGGAAGGAGCTGCAACTGTTCCTCCTGGGGGTGAGCTGCTCTTAGGTAAGCTTCAAATGGATCATGAAACCATAACCTGAGAGCCTTCAGATCTATCATCTCTGATCTTACCTGACAGAGGGATTAACAAAGCTCCCGGATAAGCAAATGCCTGGTTGAGGTTCCCCTCTGTGAAATCATCACCCATGGAACCTGCATGTCCATACACACCTCCTCCTTCATCACCTCAGTTACTCGAAGTACAGACTCGACCAGAAGGGCACTTTGCTTGGGTGTTAGGTTTGGGTTTTTAAAGGTTTTCATTTTAGAAAGTTCCATACAACCGTGCCACCTCCTTGGGAGTGTGTGCGCTGTGAGGGGACGTGGGAGAGACATTTCACAGCCTACCAAATTAGCATCTGCAGGAACAAATTGCAATGTCTTTGTTCTCCTGCATGGCACAGCCTGATCCAACCCTTGCTAAAAATTAACACAGCAATAAAACAGATCAGAAAAAGAAGGAAAAAGAAAAGCCCACAGAAGCCCACAAAAGCTGAAGCTGCAGCAGCAGGTCAGGCCTTCCTAGGTCAGGCTGCTGGCAACCCTGCCATTGCTGCAGGGCAGCAGCCCTTTAATTTGGGTAAACCAGTTACCTGTATTCTGAGTAAGAGCCAACATGATGGATTTAGAAACATAAACCCCAGAGTAACTATAGTGGGAAACTTAATTTTAAATAATTAGAAGGTAAATATAAGGCAAGCAGCGCTCTACTATGCATACAATCCTTATAGAGTATCCCTGAAGAGCTCTAGTTTCCTCTAAATTTGCATAGTTTCTTACTCTATGCAGTTACAACTGCTAAGTGCACATAAAAGAACTGTCATGAAATCCAAAGAGAAGGGGGAAAAAAAGATCAAGTCACACGTAGAATTTTATAGGGGACTCATTTAGAATCCTACCTGATTTGCTCTTTCAAGGTCTGTCATGATCATCTCGATTTCATCAGCCCTGGGAGAACAAGAGAGCAGAAGTACTGTTATCACATGAAGAATGCCTGCTATACGAGTTCATGCACAGCACAATTGCAACATTCATACAAACAATACCAATTTTCAGTATGTTTTTAAAAGGACACAGTGAGACTGATCAGCCAATCTTCTGAGTGGTGAAATCCTCTCAGGTTTCAGCTCTGGGGACTGGTTTGCAAGTCTCCAATTGCTTTGCCTGTTCCCTTTTTGCAGTGAAAGGGGGAACATGAATAATGAGTATCTGAGCATATTCATTAGATCTTTGAGGATCTTAGTGCTGAACCTTCTGCAGAAGGGCAGTGTCATCTCTCCTGCATGTAAAGGTGCTTCTCAAGTGATAATTACAGAGAAGTCAAACACTACAGCCGACTACAGCCAACTACTTGTATACACGTACACAAAAGTAGCCTGTTACTCTTCTGTTTCAGCATGCTTAGATGTTTGGTTCTAAACTTAGCAAAAGAAAAAATATCCTGAGGTCAAAGAGACCAAGAAACTTAATTTTACATTACACAGAAAAGAGGGTTTTGACACATATTTATGAAACTCTAAATTTAGATCCAGGCTCTTAATGCACTCTGCAGAGCTGAATAGGAAAGTCAAAGGGTTGAAAACTATACAAATAGTCAAGGAAAACCAGATCCTTCATGTACGTGTATTAGGTGGCAGCTACCAGCCCTGACCCTTTAAAGCCCCAGCATTTCTAAGACACCACTTACACAAACGGACCTAATCCTTAAGCAATCTTTTTGTATCCTCATGCTGAATCATGGGAAGATATTCCACACTCATGCTCTCACCTGTGCAAGGTACCAGGAAAAGGGCCTACAGACCTAAAAGTATGTTCTTTATCAATGTAATTAGATATATTACTTCTCCCCAGACACTTTCCCTGTCTTGTATCTCTAGACCATATGGAAGCAATAAACACTATTCTCATCTCCCATGAGCAGCAGCTTTAACCAGCAAGTCCTTTTGCAATCTGCCAACACCATAATGTCTGGGTTTTGTTTTTAATCTGTAGCAGATCATTATCAGTAAAAGCTGTGAAATACTGGAATTCCCTTCCTCAGCCTATGCAGGAATGTCAGGGCTTGGTTTTCTGCTGATCCCACAGAAGATCCATTTTTCTATGCAGGTGTTTGCTGAGAAAGATGGTTAATGGAAGTACATGAGGGTACCCGCACATTCAACACTTCATCATTACACTGAATATTGACTTACTCTTCCAACAGCGTTTTAGGCTCCACATGCACACTCAGGGAAATGCAGTAAAAGATCATAATAAGTAAATGTGTATGTATATACATTAATGGAAAAGTATTTTTAATTACAGCCTTTAATGTTGTTGGGGTAACATGAATTGCCTTTTGAAAAAGTCTTTTGGACAATAATGGAAAACAGATTAACATGTGCTTTCTTGTGCAGGAGAAGCTAATGTGCTCTTACATTGGAAAGAACTCATGCACACAATGTTTTGAATTAATAATAAATAATAGACATTAGTTACTGAATTGAACCATCATTCCTTGGGCAAATAAGGATCCAAAATGTGCAGGGAGTAGCCAGAAGATGACACTGGGCAGGTTAACATAAACCTACAGCAACACTTTTGATCTCTTTAGTTGCAAAATGTCTTGTTTTAGACTCCAGCCCCAGAATACTTGTTAACTCAGTTATGGAAATGACAGTATTTCACATGGAAAAGATGTTCCTAAGACCATGCAAGCAACCCCACTGTGTATGTGTAACACAGGGATGAGAGCATCCTAAGGCACCAAAAAAAGAAAGATGCTTCCCAGCATTTTACAAATATTTTAAGCCAGGATAGTTTAAGGATCCTCTTTATATAAGCTTATGCATTCATGCTGAATTTATGTGGGAATGCCTCAGGTTATATGGAGCCAGTAAATGATGTCTGGATTATGTCACATGCCTCCCAGATCAGAGCTGGGATGTCCCACCCCAACACGCATCCTACAGCTTAAGCAAACCCAGTTTCCACTTGCTTCTCTGTAGGCTTTGGAGACCAATAAGATCACTGGAGTGCCAGGTATCAGCCAAAGGTCTCAAGAACTGCAGAACCTAAGAAGAGCAAAGGGCTCAGAAGCACTAAACCCTTGGACCAGGAGAGGAAGAAAATAAAATGGAGAAAATATGATGATTCTGATGCAGAATTGATGAGTGGGAAGGGGCAAAAGAGTGAGGGATCCATCACAAGACCCTCAGCCACCTTTAAAGATCTTGGAGGCCAGTCAAGGGAGCCAAGAGCAGGGAAACGGATAGAGACAGCAGAGCGAGAGAAGGAACAGAGGGATGTCCTAGGCCAAAGGACCCACAGGAGATGGGACCAAGAGCAGTAAAGCAGAGGAATACCCCGGACCAGCGGAAAGCTCTGTGGCTGCCACTAGAACAGGCTGAAACAGAGGATGGTGCTTGAAAACGAGGTGGAAGGACTCAGGAGAATCCTGTATTTAAAACGGACATAAGTATTAATAGGGGTATTTGTATGCTGTTCCGGCTGGGGTCAGGATTTAAGAGCTCTATTACAGCACTGGTATACGCAGTCAATTACAAAAGAAAGCAACCGAGGATATAGAATGCCATAAAAGTGACATTTCTGCCCTTCAGCATGCACAGATAATTCTGACTGAATCCAGCAGAAGTGTCAAACTGTAGCCAAGGGCAAAACTGTCCCTTTGTCCTTGTATCCAGACACACCAGCTGACTGATCCTGAACTCCCCTTTCCCTCATATGTATTTTCTACCTAGCTTTTCCACATAGAATCTGTCTCTGCACACTTAAAAAAGATGTAACATCCCCCCCCAAATTCAAACAAAACAGCCCCAGCCTAGCAGTGGAGGTTAATGCTGCAACCATGTTACCTTTAAGTAAAGTAATGAATTAAATTACTCTACATTCTTTCCTAGCACAAGTGTCAACAGCATTCAGAAGAATCTTCAAAAGGAATCCAGTCTTTTCATTTTAAAAGCTCAACTACCACATCAGTGGCTGGCACTCAGCAGTCTAAAATCACTTACTTGAGAAAGTCTCTAATAGCTACATTCACTGTTTGCTCAGCAGAAGTATTTATTATGAAATAAATTACAGTTCTCACACCTTTTATGCACTCGCAGAAGCAACTTGCATTGATTTATTGTTTACAAAGCACCGTGTCAAATTCAAACCTGCAAGGTACAAGGAAACACCACTTTGGCTCACTGTGTTAGTCCCACACAGGTCATTTTTGAGGTATTCACCATTTGCTCATTTTCAGCCCTTCCTATTTCAGTATTTCTCTTTATTTCAATGGAACTACTTGACAGGCAAAACACCATCTTGTCCTGAGGGTTTTCACTGAAAATCTGGTGGGAACCCTGAAGGGAACAATGGTCAAGTTCAGCAAATCTGTAGTTATGGACCGACCCAAAACTTCCGACCAAAGTCATTTTATGGGAACTAAACTCACTTATAAGAGACACAGACCTGGTGATTATACCTTTAACTTTCTGCATTCCTGAAGCAACGCATGACTTGGCCTCCTGTGGGTGCCTGGATTCCTCCATCACCCAAAGGCTGAAGGCAAGAGGAAGAACCCCAAAGTTCTCACTTTCTTCAGATGCGTACAGAGGGTAACTAGTCACATGAACACCTTTTGCTAAAATACACTGATATTTATGGTGATTTACAGTAGATTTCTACATTGCAACTCAACAGTATTCAGGGTTTGTCAAGGGTGATAGTTTCTTAACATTAAAACAGATCATGCAAAAAAGAGCTCTTTTCAGGAACAACTATTCCTACCCTCTGTTTTCTCATTCCACAGATAATACAATCATTTATCTGATCTAATTCCTGGTAAGATCTGTGTCAGACGAAAAGTTATCATATAAGCAAGACAGCTCTACAGTCTTGTTCTAAGTTTCAACACTTCGAGGCTAAGGAATTTAGGCAATTCAATTTTAAGCCCAAGCATTTGGAATTACAGAATAACCATCACCAAGTAAAAAGAACCTGAACTGTTGAAACAGCATGACCATGAAATATGCTATTATTTCTTCTCTTGCTAGTGTGTTTCAAGTGAAAACCAAACCCCACTAAAAGCTATACATTTTACAAGGTAGAAGCTTTTACCAGCCATGAAAGAGCCCTCAAAGCTCCCATACCATCTATAAAACAGGAGTTTAAACAAGAACACCCCACTTTTCAATTCAATTACTGATGGGAAATGAACCATTTTCCTTTTAAGATCAAGGTAAGTGATTTCGGTTTGAGCAGCATAACAAGCAAGCAAATTCAAGAATTGGTAATATGGAAGCAGCTCAGTTCTTCTAAATACAATCCAATCACATAAAAACCCTAAACACCATGAAGCTCTTCACTTGCAAGCGAGAAGAATCTGAACTTCATGATTAAAATCCAGTTCATCCAACTCCTTCATTTAGATCCCAGCTTAAAGAGGCAGAAACAACTCCTTTTTTATTAACATGACAAGCGAATGGTTTGCCAAATCTCATGGCTACAGCCCCCTAAACATTGAAACTTACTGAACCTTGAAGGAAACTGCTGTTGGATTCTTTATACATGGAAGAACTGAAAAATACAGATGACACTTGTGAAATTGCAGTCAGTGGTGGGGCCAAGAAACCTCACTAGTGGGGCAGATGAGTATTCTGGTCTGGCAAAAACCAAACACCATTTCTTCCCACACATTTGTTTTCTTTACAAACATGTCTAAGTTTCCTGGTCAGAGTAAAGGGGCTATGGAGCCACTGGGGCTTGTTAAAACGTTCTAATTACCAAAACATTTAGGCAGGCAATTTCAACCTAAAAGCAGACATTATCAGCTCCTGTGCAGTTATGGTTAAGTAAGGAAAAAACATAAATCCTACTTGTAACATCAGTAGGGTAAAACTAACCTGTCTCACGACATGTATCTGTGATTGTCACGGAGCAGATTTTGGCCAGACCAGGCAAAC